GTTTCATTCCTGTCAGTTTTAAATTTTCTTTGCTCTTCATGGATTGCATAGCATACACATCTAAAGACAAATACATTTAAGATTTCATGCAATATTTAATTAAAAGGAAAATATATTTTGTAGCGTTTTGCTAATGACACTGAAGTATGTTCATCATGTATGATTCGTGTTAACTGTAGCAGCATTTCAGGCGGCTTGTAAGTATGATGAATCCCAAGGGGCTATAGATGATGTAACGCTCGCTGTATCCTGCATCAATAAACGAGATGCCCGGTCCGGATGCTGTGTTCGTGTTTATTAAGATTAGTTTAAAAATATTTATAATCGTTTCAGGGTGATTAGAGTATAAATGATTCCCCTTAAAGATGCTTTTCATATAATGTTTCAAAGCAAAAACTACTTATGGAAATGTTACCAATTACTTCTTACCGTCTCAACCAAGTAAAAGGAAATTTAGAAATCAAGAACAAAGATTTGTGCCTTAAAACAGAGTAACTAAAAACAACAACACTGAAGTGAACTGTGTTTGGCTTCATGGGGGCAAGGGCAAGGTATTAGGAAAACAGAAAGACTAATCGTTTATTTGCTATGCAGCTGGAACTCTTCAATTCGTCCTTAAATCAGGTGAACTCTAAGTTGACCCGAACAAGCAATGATATCTCCAAACTTTACAGCACTGTGACAAAGGTAAAAGTGTACTCGATTGTTGCAAATGTGAAACAATATCAGTTCAAGATAATTGGTGCCTTGAAAAGTTGTGAAAATTGTTTCAGCTCCACAGGAACGAACACATTTCTGAAGGGTCAGAGTATGCTATTGAAACTCTGTTATCTTGTTTACAGCTGGAAAATTACAACTCATCCCTTAACGAGGTGAAGTCCAAGTTAGATAGATCACGAATTGATCTATCAGAGCTTAACAGCACCGTAACCAAGGTAAAATTGAGTTCACACACATATGAAGACTTCGTATGACTAGACAAGTTCATCCTAACTACGTTCCTGTTCAAATGCTGTGAATACAATTATCACTTAACGTGAAAATCTTTATTCGTCCTCTAACCAGGTAAAGTCTACATTAGACAGAAGAAGTAAGGATGTAACAGACCTGAAAAGTACTGTGACGAAGGTAAACATTTATGTAATGGTTGTGCCTGTGACATAGCTAGAAATTAGAATTTTATTTGCCCGTTTGGTCTGCTTGCAGTACTTTGGTAATGCTCTGGCAGATTAAGTTATTTAAGTTTGTTTTTAAATCCTAAATTTATAGCGATTGTAAAAGTTAGCGTTTCTATCTACTTTTCTCGCCTTGTGTTTTTGGTTTTTATCGTTTATAATTGTCCACTGTTTGGACATTAGTCATTTTGTGAATTTGAATTTTGTACTTAGTAATTCTCAGTTTTATTTCTTTCATACCCCTCTGCATTCACTTGCGCAAAAATTGACGTACATACTGAAAAAACATTTCGTTTCGTCTGATCAACAGAATACATCCTACTAATCCAACATTTTGCGCTCACGATCTTTTTGATACTTATATCTCCTGGCAAGTTAAGCAACATTTTCCTTTAAATATAAGTTAATAAAGGTTCCATTTTAATTTTGGATACCGCTCTTCCTGCTTTAGGTGAAGTCTAAGTCAGATAGAAACAGCGATGATGTCTCGG